GACGTGGTGACAACGTTACATTTTAGCTAAATGACGTCGGAAAGACGTTAGAGCAACGTTAAATTTGAAGAAAAAAGACGTTATAAGGACGTTAGGTAACGTTATATTTTAGCTAAAATGACGTCGAGCCAACGTCTTTTCTATCGTTTTTTACACGTTGGAATAATGGCATATGAAACATAGGTCAACGTTATATTAACAATGTTGCGAAACGTTGTAAGAAAAACCCCCTCCAACGTTTTTCTATCATTTTTGATGTTATTTCTACACTGCAAAAAACAATAAAGGACAATTTTACACTGTATAACTTTGCGTTGTCAAGCTATATTTCTTCTTATTTATTTAGGTTATACACGATTATTATATTAGTCCGGGCGAATAATTGAATACGGAAATTAAAAGACTAAAAATAAATAAACATTGCATCACTTCTATTCCAAAATTTTAAAATTATATACAATAACTTAAAATGAAACTAGTTTAATTTTTACTTTCTTTGCAAATTTCAATCATATCTCAAATAATTCGCGTATTCTTTGTTTGACACTAAAAGAAAAATATATATGAAGAAACATAAAGTTACAAAAAAATCCAATTAAAAGCATTTTTAAGAACTAAATAAAAAACATTCGGAATAAACAAATATAAATACTACAAATACCAGAAATTGCGCTAACTTTCTATTTGATGCTAACCTGAGTTTTTCTGCTTTCGAAAGATTATCGACTGTAAATCGTTTAGCAACATTATCTGAAATAGAATAAACAATACCTCAATAAAATGCAAAACTAATGAAATTGCCACCAAAATAATTTTAATTGAATAAATAAACAAAATTAATTTAAAACACACAATCATGAAATAATGGAAAAAAAATGTCTAGTTTTACCCTCAAAAGATATAAAATATCTTTGAGTTCAGATTTCTGGAAAGTTATTTTTTTAAATGTGTTATTTTGGCAGTATATTTTTTTATAACATGAATTGCATGGTAAATAAAGAAACTGAAATGGTACATTTTCACTAAGCAAAGAATCAAAAGTTGTTTTTATAAATAACTCTCTTTAAGACTAATGATTACTTTGTTAGGTGTTTTTTCTTCCAATCCGAACTACTTATATTTCACTTAAACCCTTGACCATTTGAGCAAGTGGCATTTTCTTACCAAAAGCCAATAATTTTTTTAAATAAAAAGGCTGACATATCAAGAACCAATCATTCAGAAAACTATAAAAAATGAATAAGGTTATGTAAATTGTATGTTATGAATGTTAGACCATAATAATCCACAGCCTTAATAATCCAGTCATCCAAACCAATTTAATAGCATCAATGCATAACCAATGCATTGATTCTGCTAATTTAATTTGTATCTTCAGTGCATAGAGACCAGTATACAAAATAAATTAACTGTATAGTCTTTTATTTTTTAAAACTCCACCTGTGATCTAGACTTTCTGTTTTTAACAAAATCAGATGGTTTTTTACCATCAGATTTGTTAGAAGTCATGAGACTTTTCAGAAATATGATTAATTTGAACATATGACAAATCACATACCTCTGGCTCCGTTTTATCAAAATATCAATAATTGACAGACAATACCAAAACAAAATATATAATATAAACTAGATGATATATTATATAAACTAGATGTCAAACTTGCGGTCCTTTATTAAAAAAAAAAATGTTGCTTTTTTTGCTTAAAAATATAATTTGCCATTTGTAAAAAGTGTTAAAGCTGAAGCAAATGTGTGGAATAAAAAATCAAAATGCGAGTCAAAATTAACCAATAAATTAAAGATAATTCAAAAACATGTTATAATAAATATAAAGTACTTATCAAGGTTTATTTAAGGTTTATTTCTATTTTAAATTTTAATCCCTTTTTAATCAAAAATAAATTTAGAAATCATAAATTATTACTTTACAAGTACTCTAATTTCCTCCTAACACTTTTACATATATAGATTACATATATAGATTTAAAATATATTACATATATAAAAATATATTTACTTCATATATAAAAAAATAGTTAAATAGTATTTGTTTACAAATTTAATCTGTCATTTGTAAAAAGGACAAAAGCAGCTTTACTTTTTGGATTGAAGTAAGACAACTAGTTTATATAAAATATCATTGGTTAATACACATGTGATCATTATGGAGCATACTTTTAATATCAATGGCTAGATGTGAAAACCAAGATAAATGTAATTACAATAATTTTTCAGTATTTACATGACTAGGTGTTTTAGTAACATTTATTTCCTATGCCCATGTTGCTGCATTCAAACAAGCAAATTATATAATGAAAATGTGCAACTAAATGTTTAACTGGCCATTAAACAAGGTCAAAAATTAAAAAACAGGACAAATATCAAAGGGTTCACTAAATGAGCACTTTTTATAGAGAGTTTAGTAAAATATAACAGAATCACTTTCAAAAATATAAAAACTATTGGAATAGGCTTAAAGAAAAAATCACTGATTAAACTTCAATAATTATCATTTTCTAATAAACTGTTTATCAAACAATTAGCCTTTCACAATATAATTGATCTTGATATCATCATACATTTATCTGTATGCACAAATATATAAACTTTTAAGAAATGAACTTTTATAATAAAAATACTTCAAAATGTTCTATTGATATCATTTTTATAGCCATTTGTATTAGTTTGCTAATGTGTTATATAAATATTCTCATGCAATATGTATACTCATTTAAAGTAATATTAAAATAATAATCAACGAAATCTTTGCATTTATTCATAATGCCTGCAATGTTCTGAATATACATAAAACAAATAAAAATATAAATGAAGAAATACAAAAGTTACCTCTGAATAAAAGTCCTTAACATATTTTGCTAACTTTCCGCCAACAGGTGAGAGTTGGCCTAAAGAAAAAAATATAAAAAAGGCACATTGAAGTGTTTTACACATAAGATCTTATTTAAATATTTTTTACTGCATTCACCAAGGTCAAGCCTTAAAGACCCAAGCTTATTTAATAAACAGTTAGAACTGAATAAGTATTTTGCCATGATTCAATCAGAGCAATCATGGCAAACTCATAAATATAATACATTTTTATTAACTAAATTTTGTAACAGAAATAAAATTTTAAAACATTAGAATTATTCAATATTGTTTTTTACATATTGAAATTAAACTCACAAACTGTTGAGCAAAACCTTTGTCACCAATTCTTAGTGTAAACTCGTTCAAATATTCTATTGTTAAATTTAAGTTTAAGATTAAATAATGTGATTATGTATATTTAAGTCGACTTGTTCTGTTTTTAAACACCTTGATAACTTAGTACTTTAACTCTGCACATAAAAAATAATGACATTCAAAAAATATATATTTTAACTTGGCATGAGTTTTATTAAAATATAAGATTAATTAGTTTTTCGGTTAGAAAGATAAGAGAATAAGTAAATGATAGTGCTATGAATATATATATATATATACATATATATATATATATATATATATATATATATATATATATATATATATATATATATATATATATATATATATATATATATATATATATATATATATGTATATGTATATATATATATATATATATATATATATATATATATATATATATATATATATATATATATATGTATGTATATATATATATATATATATATATATATATATATATATATATATATATATATATATATATTTTGGTATAACATATCAATTTTAAAAACTATATCATATCACATATCATATACAAAAACTACACACAAATATATTTGACATGTACTTTATTGAAATACTTTGGAGTTATTGAGTTGAGAGGGGGTTATAACCACAATTGAAATAAAAAGGAGCCTCCTCAACTGCAGCACCCTTTATGGCCTTTATGGCCAAAATCAGCTCTTTCTTTCAACTCTGAAATTAGGGAAACATAAGATTGTGATTCATTTTGAAAATTAAATACTGACTGAGTGTATCTCATCTAACACTTTGTGTGTATTGATTTAAATAAATATTTTGTTTATTATGACTAAGATCTAGTGTAAAATTTAGATGTTCTGTTGCTGTTTCTGTAGGATATGTCTTTCGCTTGCTTCATAGTGAGAAGTTATGAGTTCTATCCTTACCATGTTCCTGGTAGTAACCGGGAGGTGAATAACAATAAAAAAAAATAATAATAACTTAATACAAATACATAAAAAATTGTTTACCCTTTTTCGTGACTTGAGACTCAAACTTATGAGAGTCAGTGTTAGTTATAATATTGTAGGAATAGCATGATATGATTATACCAATATACAATGTCGTAAAAGAAACACATTACACAAGTTATAAGAAGCTTATTAGGTAATTTCTAGTCTAGTTCCACAACAAACTAAAAAACTTTCCATTCAAATAAATAAAATATATATTATGATTAAGACATTGTCTTAATATAACTTAATTGTCTTAAATTTATACTTAATATATTATGTATATTAAGTAAAAACCTTGTTTTAATACAACTTACAACTGTCTTAGACAACTGAATTGAATGTCTTAAAAAAAAGGCTCTGTATTTTTATTGGCATTTAATTAAACTGCTAAATAGTTTAATAACGGGTATTTAAAAAACCTATCATTGCATTATCTATTTGTAAATAAAATATTATGTGCAAATATTATATATGTTATATATAATATTTGCACATAAATATACAAAGTATACAAAAACATAACAAAAATGTCAACAGTTTTTGAAAATCAAATAAAGTTTTAGTAATTTTTATTTATCATTAATATGATAAAAGTTTAATATCTAATTTGAATGTAGAATATAAAGAAATAATGTATCAATTATTAGTATCACAGAATATAATGCCTAAAAACCATTAAATTAAAATTAGATTAAAAATAACATCTTTATCGATAACGGTTTTTCAACCATTTTAAAAATGCGCAAGGTAGTAAAATCAAGTTGTGTTTACGTTAGAAAGCTGACGTTGCTTTGTCAAAAGTAAAAACGTAAAAAAAAAGCAACGTTGTTCCAAATTCGTTCCAACGTTAATCAGACTAAACGTTGGTTTTACGTTAAACAACCAACGTTGTTCCAACGTCGTTTTAATGTTAATATTCAAGACTTTAGATGATAACGTTTTTCCGACGTTGTTCCAACGTTTGATAGCAAACGTTAGAACAACACCGTTTTGCCGACATTGGAACATCGTTGGAATTTAGTTAACTTGCGTCGCGACCAAAATACAACCAAATTAGAACTACGGCTTGACGTCTTTTTCTTACTGGGTAGGATATTTATTCACTTATTGATTTTTTAACAAGAATTAAATTATTTAAACTAGTTGCTGTGTCATTAGTTACTCAAAAAGATGTGAAAACTAATGTGGATTTAAAATTTATAAAGATTCTTTTGGAAAATCAGCTTTTAAAAGAAGAAGACGTAAAGACTGGATTAAAGCAATCCATTATATTTCATAACATTGAAGTTGCTCTAATTTCTAGTTCTTTCTAAAAAAGAGAATCGAAAAATACCCTTAAGTATATAAACGAGGATCCTTATAAGTATTATCATCTACGATATAGAGCTTGAAAACTATACTAAGAAAAAGGAAATAATGACACTACAATTTTATTTTAACTACAATTTTATTTGCTAATGACACAAACTTGTTTTGCTCTAATAGTAATATCGGTTTCTAATTGGAAACAGTCAATAAGGAACTCGCAAATTTAACTGAATGGTTCAAGTCAAAAAAACTATCCTTGAATATAAGTAAAACCAAACACACTCTTTTTCATAGACTCCACAAAAAAAAATTATAATTATTTAAAAATTATTGAAACATCTTTATCTATGTATTGATAATTCTAATATAAAAAGAAAGCACTCTTGCGCGTTCTTAGGAGTATTTCTCGACGAAAATTTTTCCTGGCGCGAACACATAAGTATAATAGAAAACAAAATATCAAAAAACATTGGCTTATTATATAAAGCTGAAAAGTTTTTTAACCAAAACTGTTTAAAAAACATATACTTTTCTTTTATTCACATCTACCTTAATTAAGGGAATATTGCTTGGTGATGCACCAACGCAACCAAGATAAAAAAACAACTCAGTAGACAAAAACATGCTATACAATTAATTTCAAACGTATATAGTTTAACACCCTCAAATGGTTTATTTAATAAATTAAATATACTCTATGACACCTTTAATATTTAACAACCTTTTTAACAAAATAAATCATGTTTAATCTACTAAATTTTCAAATCAGAGCTACATTTAACCAAAACCTATTATACGGCCACCTAATGCAAATAGAGGACCCAAATTATGGAATTCTTAACTTAATAACGACATCAAAACTACTACTTTTTTTCATACATTTAAAACAAAAACTTCTTACTATTGACAATGAATTAAGTTATATCAAAATACCTTAGATAATCTTATTCTCTTTTATTTATTTACTTAACTATTTTATTTTTTATGTTTATATATATATATATATATATATATATATATATATATATATATATATATATATATATATATGTTTTTAACTGGTTGTAATGTAAAAATACGATAAAAACTTCGGGGTTTAGTGATAAGACTACTATTGTCTTTTTTTTTGCCCCGGCGTTGTAAATATTTATTTATACATTTTGGTATTGTAATAATTTTTAAACGACATAATATATGTATAAAAAAACAATAAAAAAACCACCTAATCATAAGTCTACTATTTCTGAATATTTGAAACACAGTATTTATAAAGCAGAATTTTTCACTTTTAATACAGTACTAAACTTAATTGAAATATTGAACTTAAAAAATAAACTTGACTTGAAAAAAGTAAACATATTTCATACCAAAATATAACATCAGATGAGCAAAATAATTTTTTTTTCAGACTTATCTTAAATGGTAATATAGCTCTTTAAAAAGTTAAAACATCACTTATGCTTGATCTTGGAGGACCATCTTTATTTTGTGCTTATAAAGCACAAATAATAAAAAAACTTCACGATAGCAAACTTGTTATAAACATATCAATAGTTATAAAATTAATAGTTATAAACATATCAATTATGTTAAATAACTAACTGGTATATAATTAAAACCAGCTTAAGCAACTAATTATCTCCTGACTGGGTGATTGTGTATCAGACAGATTACTATATCAGAATTAACTTTTACCTGAAACTTGAACCTGATAGCTATATTCTTGCTGGTAGAGTGCTAATTCTTATCACTTACTGGTGTTATTTGATAAATTTTGTATTTTTTTATGTAAAAAAATATGATGTATCTTTAGGTTATATATTTATTAGTTTACTGAATAATGCCTTCTATGCCAGCTTGAATTTTAATTTACTAATATTAATTCGCTACACCTGAACTTGATATTAAAAATGCTATTGGAGCAACATTAAAAATCAAAGCTTTTACAAAAAACTACAAATATCTGGACGCAAAATCTAGGCAGCTTTTTAATGCTCGTATACATACTGTTTATGAATAGAAGAGTTTAATGTATAAAATATTTCCTGTTAATTATATGACTGTTAAGATCAATCTATTTGTTAGATAATACCATGTTAAATATGAATGCCTTTGATCATTTTAATATGAGCTGATTAATGTAAATGTATAAAATCAGAGCGGCCATTAAATTTTTATGTCCATAACTTTTTCCTGAAACTTTAACATACAAAGAAGCAAAAAATTTCATATAGCCCTTTACTTTTACCCAAAAACATAAATTTGCTTTAAAAGTGCTCATTTACTTTTGAATGATGTTATTATAAGAATTTAAAAATACATGTTTTGCAATCTTATTTTGATTGTCAATTCAAATGATAGCTTACAGTTTGAAACTAAGCCAATCAAAATTCTCAGAGTTTTGCATAATTTATTTAATTTCCTGGTGTTAGCAGGATGTCCAAGTTGATGGCTACTCTGATTATTTATTAAAAATAAAAGTAAATTTATTGAAAAGCATTGTATTATTATTTACAGATTAAAAATATAAGTAAATTTTAAAGGGTGCTATTAGTTTTATTTTTTCTATTGTCTGGTTCATCACCTTTTTGTACTGTATTGAACTCATTTTGTTCTAAGACAAGTGTAAAGTTTTTTAAGTTACTTAATTTTTCAACAATGCTAATAATTTTTCCGAAACTAGGTCTTTACCATTTGCTGTTACTTTTCCTACCATTCTCTGTTGATTTGTTACATTTTTTTGTCAAAATTTGCAATATTAGGTATCTCTAACCACTGAACCTCGGATGCTAAATTACTAGTACTTAAAAATATTCAATTATGATATTGTTGTTTATTAAATTTCAAAAGCAATATGAATTGAAAACTTATAATAGGGAGTTTCGGCAACTTTTATAGCGAATGTAAATATTCTTTTTTGTTTAAATGCATTAGATTCCTTAATATACTTATATTTCCAAAAAGGTTTTAACCACTTCTCTAGTTTGTTTAGTTCCAAATATATAAGTGTTTTAATATTTTCGATTCATAGACAATATTTATATTGTCATCAAACAATTTTGTACAAAATTTGCCTTGGCTATTCCGTTCATAAATTAGACAAAATTGTCTAACTTACTTAACGAAGTGCACCAACGAGAAGGTAAGCCATAGGACTTTGCACTCCATCAGTAAGCTGTCATGTTGCCTAAGGTTAGCCCTCCATTTCTGGATTCTTTATTTTACTTGACAGGCAGTTCATGTAAAAGTAATAGTAACCTAGCTTAAGATTAGCTCTCCATTTCTGGATTCTTCACTTTGTTTGATAGGCACAGTTCATGAAAAAGTAATAGTGTATTTGCATAAAGCTTTTTTTTTTTTTTATTTAAATTTTAATATTTATAATAATGCGAAGTTAAACATAGAGATAAAAATATTGATATAAAATATAAATATTCCTTTAAATTTAACAAAGTTGGTACATATAAACATTTCAGATACCAATTATAAAGATAAAAACCACTGTAATCAAATGCAGTAAAAACAAGTTATTAGAACATAATACTAAAAGAAATAAGAAAAATACATACTATAATATAATTCTAAATTTTTATTAAATAAAATTACCTTACAATCCTAGCTAAAAATAATAAGATCACCTTTTTCAAATTTGATTAAAAAAGTAAATGACCATACTTCATCAGGTTTGTTAATTCTTATAAGTTATAAGAATTTTTGTTGTTGTTTTACGAGATCAATTGGAATATAAAATTTGCAGAAGAACATAAAATATATACATAAAAGTTATTAATAGCAATCAAAGTTTATAAAAATATTAAAAAAACCTTTTCTTTTTTACAATATATAATAAATTGTAATTATTTATGTAATTATCTTTTATGTAACTAATTATTTCAATCATTTTTCAAAAAGAAAACAAAATTTAAATGTTACTATTTATTTTAATTATTTTCAAAAGAATTTATATAAAATAAATACATTTATAAAGTGGATTTATATTATGAACTTATGAATGTATACTTCTAAAGTTTAAATGTTTTCTGCGTACAAGTATGCGCGCATGTTGTTTACAAAAAGATGTGATGTTGCACGAAAGTAAAAGACTATATGAGAAAAAATTTTATTTTTACTAAAACAAAAGCTAAAAACAACATTGTCTAGAAATTTTTCGTTATAAATATTAGTTTGTTTACCTGTTATTTTAATTTGAGTTCTTGACGATTATTGAAATAATTAACATCCGGCTTTAAACATATAAAACTCGTAGCAATAGTTATAATCATGACTATGAAAGCTTTAATGGAAGCTGTATCATTTAAGCTTTATGACCATAATAAAAAAAGTTTTTTTTTTCAAACTGACTTGAATTGACGTCAGCGTAAATTAAAGAACCTACATAAAAACTTTCGATAAAAAGTGAACGCCAACAAAGTGTCTTTTTTTTTGGAAAACATTAACTTTTAAATTTTTTTAAAACAAGC